GGGCCTGCCAGGGTGCACAGGCCTGGGGGGAGAGCGGGGAGTGTGGGCTGGGGCCTGCCAGGGTACACAGGCCTGGGGGGAGAGTGGGGAGTGCGAGCCCGGGCCTGCCAGGGTGCACAGGCCTGGGGGGAGAGCAGGGAGTGCTGGCCTGGGCCTGCCAGGGTGCACAGGCCTGGGGGGAGAGCTGGGAGTGCAGGGCCGGGCCTGCCAGGGTGCACAGGCCTGGGGGGAGAGCTGGGAGTGCGAGCCCAGGCCTGCCAGGGTGCACAGGCCTGGGGGGAGAGTGGGGAGTGCGGGGCTGGGGCCTGCCAGGGTGCACAGGCCTGGGGGGAGAGCTGGGAGTGCGGGCCGGGGCCTGCCAGGGTGCACAGGCCTGGGGGGAGAGCAGGGAGTGCGGGGCTGGGGCCTGCCAGGGTGCACAGGCCTGGGGGGAGAGCTGGGAGTGCGGGGCTGGGGCCTGCCAGGGTGCACAGGCCTGGGGGGAGAGCGGGGAGTGCTGGCCTGGGCCTGCCAGGGTGCACAGGCCTGGGGAGAGAGCTGGGAGTGCGGGGCTGGGGCCTGCCAGGGTGCACAGGCCTGGGGGGAAAGCACGGGGTGCGGGGCCGGGCCTGCCAGGGTGCACAGGCCTGGGGGGAGAGCGGGGAGTGCGAGCCCGGGCCTGCCAGGGTGCACAGGCCTGGGGGGCCGTTGTGGAAGCCGATGAAGAACAGAAGTGCTTTGTGCCACAGCTCGGAGACCCGGGCGGGCGGGGCCCTGGGGCCCATATCCAGAGCCCAGCTCATCCCTGCTGGCCCCAGTGGGGTGGGGGTCCTTCCGGGGAAGTTCTTACCCCAGAACTCTCAGAGACACTGAAGGCCATTTCGAGGAGACTGTTAAGAATGAGCTGATCTTGGAGTAGAAATAAGCGGCGCTCCATCACTGAGCCTAGGGCTCGGCTCTGATGAGCAGTCCTTGGTGGTGTTGGCGTCTCTGAGTAGAAGCAGCCCAGGGCAGCCTGGGGGCCAGGCGTGGGGGCCGAGGGTCAGTACATCCATTTCTCCTTCAGGTGACGTGAACATTCCTGGCCCTCCCACAAATGTGCAAGCCTCAGAGGTCAGCAGGAACTATGTCGTCCTCAGCTGGGAGCCCCCGAGCCCCCGTGGGAAGGATCCCTTAATGTACTTCATTGAGAAGGTACCCTACGTGCTTCTGTGCGGCTGAGCTGACCGAGGGGCTTTGATTGCATCAGGCATTGCTGACTGCCTGGCACTCAGATGCTGAAGGTGGAGGGGGACTTGGGGGTGGAGCCAGGGGAGTTGGGGCAGGGCCCCCCTCCCCGTGGTGCCCTCGTGTGGCGTGGGACAGCTGGCCCTGCCATGTGCCGCGTGGTGTGCTGGGTCCGTGGCCGCTGCCATCACGAAGGTGCACACCACACGCTGCCCTCTGGGCCTGGAGGACTGGCCCAGCCGCTCCTGGCTTCTGGGGTGGTGTCCCCAGGCCGGTGTCCACTCCTCCTGTGGACCGCCGTCTCTGGCCAGCCTTGCTGCCTCCTCTTCCCCCCACACCGGGCCTGGACAGGACACACAGGACCGAGGGGACAGCCCTCGGGCACCCACACGACCCAAATCCACGAGAGGGAACCCTCCTTTACCTGTGGATCCCGCTGCTTCCAGCCCGGGCTGGTCCACCGGAGCTATAACCTGCGCGCGCTCCACACTTGCTTTCCTTCGGTGGGGAATGTTTGGGAGCTTTCCAGCCGGCGTCAACGGTGCAGCGCGGGGGGCCTGCTCGGGGCGTGTCCCCTGCGGGGTGTGTCCCCCTGTGGGGCCCCTGGGCCCCCCCTCGGGAGTGCGCCATGCTGTCCTGTCCTCTCCACAGTCCGCAGTGGGCAGCGGCAGCTGGCAGCGCGTCAACGCCCAGACGGCCGTGAGGTCTCCTCGGTATGCCGTCTTCGACCTCGCTGAGGGGAAACCCTATGTGTTCCGGGTGTTGTCAGCGAACAAGCATGGCCTCAGCGACCCATCGGAGATCACGGCCCCCATCCAGGTGCAGGATTCCATCGGTGAGTGGCACCGGGTCATCCAGGTGCAGGATTCCATTGATGAGTGGCACCAGGTCATCCAGGTGCAGGATTCCATCGGTGAGTGGCACCGGGTCATCCAGGTGCAGGATTCCATCGGTGAGTGGCACCGGGTCATCCAGGTGCAGGATTCCATCGGTGAGTGGCAGCGGGTCACCATCCCCCGTCGGGCCTGCGGGTGCCGTCGCAGGTGCACACGAGCCACCCGCTGCGTAAAGCAGTGTCACAGACCTGCAGAACTCGGTCAGGGTCTTGTGGGCCCTGGCTTGACTCTGGAGTTCTATCATCTCATGAAACTAACCAAGAGCTCACAGGCGAGTGTCTTGGTAAAGGCCCTTAAAATCTCCAGCCCCATACGTAGCATGGTTTCCTGCCTAGTTGGCTTGAAGCTCCCTCTTGGAAGATTTCAAATATGAGTCACGGAAATTCTGACTCCACCCTGCTGAGGTGAGGCTCGGGCCGGAGGCCTGCCAGCACCCCTGCCCCTGTGTGACCAGTCTGATGTCAGGAGCCCTGTTCAGAGCTGCTGGAGCCTTTGCTCCCATCTCCCTTTGGCCGGATTTGACAAGAAAGTCAGACACCAAGCTGGCGCTTGGGACGGAGGCACTGGCTGCTCCCAGGTCCCGCTCCGCGTTTGTCTCGGTCACATCCAGCTGGGGTCACACCTCTAATCCTAGCCATTCAGGAGATGGAGATTGGAAGGATCATGGCTCAGGGCCAGCCTGGGGAAAAAGTCCTCAAGAACTTCAGGTTCTCTGGACACCTGCCCACCATCCAAGTAGGAAGCGGAGGGCAGGGGTCGGAGGGCAGGGGTCAGGCCTGCACCTGCCACATGGGAAGCATGGGTGGGAGGATTTGGTGTTCCCGCCCAGCCAGAGCGTACACCTGAGGCCCCAACCAAAGCATTATTGAAATAAAAAGGGCCTCACTCAAGCAGCAGACCACCCACCAGACAGAACAGACCCCACAGAAGCACAGGCCGCACACGGCTGCTCCTCTTAGCAGAGGTTCTGGCCAGGCTCATGGCCAAGGCTGCTGGCTCTGGGCGGTGGGTGACAGGCTGGGGACGTGAGGCCACAGCCCCCACCAGCCCGGCCCAGGCAAGGAGGCATGGCCTTCTGGTCACAGGTTAGCTCCAAGTCCCTCACAGGCTGCCCAGAGCCTGACACAGACGCCCCCAGTGGGGCGTGCACCACAAAGGGGGCTCTGTCCCAGGCCAGTTCCTCCGGCCACGCGCACACTGTCAGCAGCAGGGTGGGGTGCAGGCTTCCTCCCTTCCCCTCAGAGTCTGGTGGGTTATGGGGACAGACAGACTTCCTGCAGCTGCTCCCGGCGCTCCTGGTTCTGGGTGGACGCTTCCTCTACAGCCACAAGCCAGGCTGGCGTCCTCTGCACTCACCACCCTCCCTCCTTCCCCGCAGCTGTCCCTTCCTCCCCTGGCCGTGTGCTTGCTTCCCGGAACACCAAGACGTCGGTGGTGGTGCAGTGGGACAGACCCAAGCAGGAAGAGGACCTGCTGGGCTACTACGTGGACTGCTGTGTGGCCGGGACCAACCAGTGGGAGCCGTGCAACCACAAGCCCATCGGCTACAACAGGTGCCCCTCCTCCCTCCTGCACCACAACAGGTGCCCTCTCCCTCCCTCCTGCGCCAGCCAGGCCACTGCTGGGGAGCAGAAGCCCCGCCCACACCCTGGATGACCCCCGTGACAGGCCCCGCCCACACACTGAGTGACACCCCGTGACAGGCCCCGCCCACACCCTGGATGACCCCCGTGACAGGCCCCGCCCACACACTGAGTGACACCCCGTGACAGGCCCCGCCCACACCCTGGATGACCCCTCGTGACAGGCCCCTCCCACACCCTGGATGACCCCCATGACAGGCCCTGCCCACACCCTGGGTGACCCCCAGTGACAGGCCCCACCCACAGTGCCCTGAGTGACCCCCCCCTGTGACAGGCCCCGCCCACACCCTGGGTGACCCCCTGTGACAGGCCCCACCCACACCCTGGGTGACCCCCAGTGACAGGCCCCGCCCACACCCTGCGTGACACCCCGTGACAAGCCCCTCCCACAGTGCCCTGAGTGACCCCCCCCATGACAGGCCCCGCCCACACCCTGGATGACCCCGTGACAGGCCCCGCCCACACCCTGAGTGACCCCCATGACAGGCCCTGCCCACACCCTGGATGACCCCCAGTGACAGGCCCCTCCCACACCCTGAGTGACCCCCAGTGACAGGCCCCTCCCACAGTGCCCTGAGTGACCCCCCCCAGTGACAAGCCCCGCCCACACCCTGGGTGACCCCCGGTGACAGGCCCCGCCCACACCCTGGGTGACCCCCGGTGACAGGCCCCGCCCACACCCTGCGTGACCCCCAGTGACAGGCCCCGCCCACACCCTGGGTGACCCCCGGTGACAGGCCCCGCCCACACCCTGGGTGATCCCCGGTGACAGGCCCCGCCCACACCCTGCGTGACCCCCAGTGACAGGCCCCGCCCACACCCTGGGTGACCCCCCGGGTGACAGGCCCCGCCCACACCCTGCATGACCCCCAGTGACAGGCCCCGCCCACACCCTGCATGACCCCCAGTGACAGGCCCCGCCCACACCCTGCGTGACCCCCAGTGACAGGCCCCGCCCACGCCCTGCATGACCCCCAGTGACAGGCCCCGCCCACACCCTGCGTGACCCCCCGTGACAGGCCCCGCCCACACCCTGCGTGACCCCCCGTGACAGGCCCCGCCCACTGCCTCTGCGTCTCCTGTGTGAGGTGCTTCATAGGAAAGTACGGTGCTGCACCCTGTGCAGAGGTGCGGAGAGCTTTGCCACCTCCTCTCCTTTTCAGCCTACCCCCAGTGCTGTGGTAGGAGAGAAGGCAGGCCACGGGGGACGGCAGCTGGGTGACCCCGCAGCTCGTGGCCGGTCAGGGTCAGAGGCTCAGGTGGTGGTCTTGAGCAGGATTTTGCAAGTGGGAAATGAATGCTGTTGACTGAGAGATCCTGGATGGCGGCTTAGCTTTGCCAGGTCTCTGCCAGGCGCCGAGTGTGGACGAGAGTGCTTTCCGCATCATCTCCCGTTGACTGCTCACGTGTGTGAGGCAGGATTTGTCTGTTCTCTGATTTCCTCCCGTGGGAAAACCCAGCCTGGGGCTGGTAAAGAATGGGCCGGGTGCCGGGTGTGGCGGGGCAGAGCCTGCCCTCCACGCTGGAGTGCGCCCGCCTGGGCCCCATGTCCACAGCTGGCCCGTCTCCTTTGGTTTTAGATCACTAGGGTCCTGTAGATCTGGAGCTGGTTGTCATTTGATGACAGCCTGGTGAGCCAGAGGAGCCTGAAAACGCCTGAGTGGAGCAGTCCCCAGCAGAGGCCCCAGCAGGGCAGAACGGGAGCTGTTGTGTTTTGGCTCCTGCTCTGAGACCCGCCCGGCCCCCACTCCTTGTTCTTCAGGTTTGTGGTGCACGGGCTGAGCACGGGCGAGCAGTACATCTTCCGGGTCAAGGCCGTCAACGCTGTGGGGGCCAGCGAGAACTCGCAGGAGTCGGAGGTCATCAAGGTCCAGGCTGCCCTCAGTACGTGGTTTCTCTAGGCGTTGTCATTTGTTCGTGAGTGAACGTGGCACTGTCCAGCCCCTGCAGCGCTGACGGAACTGCTCGCTCGTTGGCCATTGTCTCTGAAGTGCGGGCGTGAGGGGAAATGAGTGTAGGCTCACAACATCCAAATCAGAGATGGCCGACTTCACTGCTGGCCGCTCAGTCCCCACCAGCGGCCTCGTGTGGACTCGCCGCTGCGGGACGCCTGCCTCCCCTCCAGACCGTGGCTGCCGTGGCCGCCGTGGCCGCAGAAGCGCCCACCGGCACCTGGTGCTTCGTCACCTTGGGCCTTCACTTGGTCAGAGGTCGTGAAAAACGCCGATTTCTAAGCTAAGGTTTTTAATTAGCATACGTTAGTGGCCTGGGTGGCTGTTCATTTATCCCTTTGCACAACACACAACACATCTCCCCCCTCAGCCTCTCATCCCCTTCTTAGAACATTTTCAATGGGTTTTGCATTCTAGGCTCACCAGTCATACAAAGTACATCAGCCATATTCACCTGAAAAACTGTCTGTTATTGTGATCAAACAAGGTCAGAAGTCCCATTGGAAGTTTCTCTGTCAGCATACTGTGTCACTGATGACACGCAGGAATGTTCTAGAACACCAGCATTAATCACAGTAGAGTCTTCTCACTCTTGAGAGAAGTGGCCAGCTTCATGCTTTTCATCCCGTCACATTTGTGAACATTTTGGGAAGCTGCGGCCGTCCCCCGGTGCCATCCCCGGGTTCCCCGCACGGGGCGCTGCGGCTCCGAGGAGGACCCAGGGGCACAGCCAGCCCACCACCTTCCTCTCTGCAGGAGAGGTGTGCAGCCCTCCCCACAGGTCCACCACCTTCCTCTCTGCAGGAGAGGTGTGCAGCCCTCCCCACAGGTCTACCACTGGGGAGCCGGCGGTGGGCGTGTCCCGGGAGGAGCCACGTTCATTTCTGTCCCTCCCTCGCCGGTTCCTCAGGGTCGGGGGACTGGACGTGCTAGGAAGGGACCCCACCCAACTCGGTGCTCAGCACAAGGCACAGTGCAGGCCTGCTTGGGTCGGTCGGGCAGGCTGTTAGAGCACACGCAAGCCCACGTTAGTGGACGGGCACCGTGGGCCCTCTGGTGACGGCAGGGACCCAGGGCTCTGTCCCAGCTCAGAAGGCTCCTCTCCGTCCTCAGGGGCCGGGAAGGCAGCGTCTCCTCTCCAGGGTCCAGACCAGCGTCCAACAGTCCACTAAGCTCGTTTAATCCACAAACTGGCAGGTGCATTTAGGAAGAGCAAGAAATACACTTTCTTGATAGACTTTTTATTGTATAGGTGTCATTTCAGGGGAGTTAGTGTTTGATGAGTCAGGTAAAGACTGCATTTCTTTTTGGGCAGTGCCACCCTTTCTGAACATACTTTGAAGAAGCTGTTTTTAAGAGAGACGGGTCCCAGCAGGGTGTTAGGGCCATCAGGAGCAGGCTGCGTGTGGTGGGTGGTTGGGGAGCCGAGAGGCGGGGCCAGCCCCCTCCCCTCCGGTCCCGCTGTTCGGGGGTGGGCTGGTGGGGGCATCTGAAGCAGGGGGCTGGGACGCAGCAGCTGACGCTCACGTTTGTGCCCTGGCAGCCGCTCCGTCTCACCCGTACGGGATCACGCTGCTGAACTGTGACGGCCTGTCCATGACGCTCGGCTGGAAGGTGCCCAGGTTCAGCGGCGGCTCGGCCATCCTGGGGTATTACCTGGACAAGCGGGAGGCTCTGCATAAGAACTGGCACGAGGTCAACCCTTCACCCGTCCAGGACAGGATCTTCACGGTTGGTCTTGAGTTGTTTGTTTCCTTTCCTGGGTGACCGCTGCCTCTGGCAGACTCTGGCTGGCTCAGAGTGCAGGGTGTGAAGTAGTTTGATATGGGAACAGAGTGGATTAAAAACCCCGGGCGTTGTGAGAGCATGCTGCTGGAAGGGGCTTCGGAAACTTCTCTCCTTGAGAAGCCCTGAAGAAACAGGGAGACAGTGATTGAGTGGATTTGATGCACACCAGCCCTGGGCCCTAGGCCCCAGGCCCTTGTTCTGAGCTGGGCCCCAGAAGGCAGAGGCCAAGCTGCAAGGGTTTCTGTCCTTGGTGCAGAGCCGGTGCCTGGGCTGGAGGTGGACAGGGCCTGGGAGAGAAGGTGATGCTCTCTGCCTCACTTGTCTGTTCCTCCTCTGAGCCTCAGTTGCTCACCTGAACCATGAGCTGGTCTGAGTCAGATCGCCCTGCGCTCAGCTAGCCTAGAACTCAGCTGGCCCTGTGCTCAGCTAGCCTAGAATTCAGCTGGCCCTGCGCTCAGCTAGCCTAGAACTCAGCTGGCCCGGTGCTCAGCTAGCCTAGAACTCAGCTGGCCCGGTGCTCAGCTAGCCTAGAACCCAGCTCTCCCTGGCACTCAGCTAGCCTAGAACTCAGCTGGCCCGGTGCTCAGCTAGCCTAGAACCCAGCTCTCCCTGGCACTCAGCTAGCCTAGAACTCAGCTGGCCCAGTGCTCAGCTAGCCTAGAACTCAGCTGGCCCGGTGCTCAGCTAGCCTAGAACTCAGCTGGCCCGGTGCTCAGCTAGCCTAGAACTCAGCTGGCC